TCCTCTTTCACACCACAACCACCATCAAAACAATTTTAAGATTAGTATGGTGACATTAGACAGGATGTTTTAAATTGAGAAAGGGGTCAGTCACAAGACTTACAGTTATGCACAGACATGAAATAATATCTGAAATAGTGGCAATAGTAAGACGGAAAGGACTAAAGACTATTAGTTTTTAAAAGCTGAAATGTATATGTGGCAAAATTCAAATAGGAAGGATATCTATTATAGTTCAGTATAGAATATGATATATAACAGTACAGAGTAGGGATACAAAGATAGATTTATGGTAAAAATATGTTGCTTATATTACATACTACAGTAAAGAACAAATTTCTTTCCCACTCCAGATCCTTGGTCCCCTTCCCTACAGACAGTCACTGTCACTGGTTTCTTTTATATCTCTATATTCATAGAGATATTTTGATATAGAAAAATCAGTAGGACATGGAAACTGGCATATTTCTAGATTTTATTGACTTTCTTGTTAAGAAATGAAGGGTCTGAGGTTTTACCCTACTTGCAAGCTAACAAGTTAGCCTGCCTCAGTTTCATGAATGCTGACAGAAGACTCCTGGGTCAGAGACAAAGACTATTAGTCATGGCACAGCAGGCAGCATGAGCTTCATGATCACGTTGGTTCCCCTTGACACTCAAATCCCATGGGAGTGACATGGAGCAGCCCAGGTGAATGCGATGCATCACAGCTGAGGAACCCTGGCTGCAAGAAAACCCACCCAATCTTTGCTCTAGGGGGAGATATTTCTCTACAAAAACCCTTAATAGATAATCTGGAACAAAAGTGCCTCCACTGACAAAATGTGCAGAAAACATACCTGTGGAAAATTTTCTACCACTATTACTTCCTCCCTCTTCACTTTCTTTAGGTAAAATAGAAAATTTTATGTTAATTTCAGTGGAGGAAGTAGATGGTGTTTTTCAGCCATCTAAAAATACATTAGAGTTTCACTAGAAAAATTGACAGCCTTATGTGGATATAAATAAAAAGTAATCTGTTCTGTTTTGACAGTGACTCTGTTAAAGTCAACAGCACAAGTTTTAAAAATAGTTGAGTTTTAGAATTGTAATTGTTTGAATCTTCATTTTTCAGTTATTAAATGTTTTATCCTTGTATCAGCTAAACAGGTGATAATGCTTTAACAGGTTAGGTAGGACTTTCAGAGAAAATTTATTATTTAAATCTCAAAATAGTCCAATAAGATATCCGTTTTATAGGTACAGAAATTGAGGCTTATCAAAACTGACTTGTGCAAGGTCACAAGTCAGTAAGTGCCAAAGTGGGGTAATCTAAATCCAAATCTTCCCCCACTCCCCCCAAAAATCTGAAAGGCCTGAGTTTTTTCTAGAATTTAGCTGCTTTTTCCTTACCCTTCTCAATTAGCAATCTGTCTTCAATGATTTGGACTTTAAAATACTTTATTTTGGATAGAAATGTGGATGAGCTCATGTGCATATCCAGAGTACAGGTTAGCAAGTGAATGCCTTAAAATGGATTTTCCAATATGAAAAGCTACATAGCCCTAAAGAACAGTTTTCAAGATTATCTGTATATATTTTATTTTAAATGAAAGTACATGACATATCCTGGATTAATGAGAGAGATCAAATATTGATCCAAAATGAAAGTTATGTTAACTTAGAGATTGGTAGTGTTTAATTTGATATACAGGGAGGATGGAAGGAGAAATAGGTTTTATAGTGGAGGTGATAAGTTTCATTTTTACCTGATGAATGTTTTATTTCAAATAAGATTTTTGTTTTTAGTATGTAATATTAATCCGTGCTAAATAGGAAATTTGGGAAAGTGAGATAAGAAAATATAAAATAGTCTTTTATAATCTTGTTAACATCATAATAACAGATAAACAATTTTAATTGTTTATGGCCTTTCAATCTTTTCATTAGTGTCTGTATTTAATACAATTGGGATGATAATTTATGCTTTTTTGTTTTGTTTTGTTTAACCCTTATAATTTCCACTTATGAATGTGGCACAAATACTTTTTTCTGTGTCATTATTTTTTGGAAGTATTTTTGTTTGCTACATAATATTCCAGTGTTGGAATTATTGATATTTGGTTAAAACCTCCCTATGTTGGGCTTTTAGGTTGCTTATGTTTTTGCTACAATAAACGATAGAAACAACATGTTTTTATGTAAACTTTTACCCTCATTTTGTCCTATTCTTTAGGATAATTTTCTAAAAGTAGAATTACTAGGTTAAAAGATGAAAACTTTTTTAGGCTCTCCATACATCATGCCAATTTGCTTTCCTAAAAGGCTTTATGAATTTTTACCTAATGTATAAGCATGCACCATTTCACCATACCCTCAACAGAATGGAATTTTTTTTTTTTTTTTAAGAAAAAATCTTTGCTAATTTGGTAGTTGGAAATGTTATTTTAAATTCCATGTTTTAAATTACTAGTAAATTTAGGGCCGGCCTGGTGGCACACTGCTACAGTGCGCCGCTTGGGAGTGCAGCGGCGCTCCCGCCGAGGGTTCAGATCCCACATACAGACCGGTTCCCGCTCACTGGCTGAGCGAGGTGTGGGCGCAGCACTGAGGTTTGCGATCCCGTTGCCGGTCCCGGTCCGGTACGGGCGCGACACTGAGGGTTGCGATCCGTTGCCGGACACAAAAAAAGACAAAAAGGAAAAAATAAATAAATAAAATAAAAAATAAATTACTAGTAAATTTATTAACTATTTGAATTTTGTGAAATTTTTGTTCAGGATCTTTACTCATTTTTCTCATTGATTTTTATACATTTATGATCTCTTCAGGCTGTTAGCCTTTTGTCACCAAATGTGTATAAGATTTAAGAGTCAGTAGCATAGAGCTAACAGATGAGAATGGATAAGCTCCTAGAGGCCAAGGATTTATAGAGAAAAGAATATAGAGGTTAGAACTGAGTCCAGAGGACAACCTACAGGTAGTGGATAAAAAGCCAATAAGCAGAAAATGATAGGGTTCTAAAGTTAAGGAACGAGAGGATTGAGTACTTTCCCTGCTCTTAAATTAATTTTTCCTTTATTAGGAAATCTTTCTTTTCTCTCAGAATTTAGTTAAGTAACTCATGTTAATCAAAAATTCTTTTTTTATTATCTTCTCAGCTAAAGTGATAGCAGTGACTTCTAAATTTTATTTTATTTTATTTATTTTTTATTTATTTATTTATTTATTTTTAAAAAGATGACCGGTAAGGGGATCTCAACCCTTGGCTTGGTGTTGTCAGCACCACGCCCAGCCAGTGAGCGAACCGGCCATCTCTATATAGGACCCGAACCCGCAGCCTTGGTGTTATCAGCACCGCACTCTCCCAAGTGAGACACGGGCCACCCCGACTTCTAAATTTTAGTTTCAAATTTTCAAAGCTTTCTGCTGATACTGTTTATTATGGTATTATTTGGGAATTATGTAAGGCTTTATGTTTATTTCAGTCCAGGTCAGGACAGGCAAATTAGGGATATAGGCATAACTTTGTATTTAATTCACAGATTGGTCTTGAAGCAATTTGGAAGAAATTCAGTGAAAGTATAAAAACATAAAAGTGTCTCCTTAAATATAAGTGTCACATTCTTTTTTAAAAAGTTATCATATATTTAAGACATAAAAATCATAAAGAATGTAACACTTGCGTATCCAGCTACGAAAACAAAACCAACATTGTTGAAGCCCCCTTGTGTACCTCTCTCTGATTATACCCCCCTCCCCCATTATCCTGAAACTGATATCACTCCCATGTGTACCTATGTCTCACATTCTGTACCTGGGTCTTTTCTTGTTAATTAAAGCAAGTGTCCCATGTAAACTTATTTCTTCAACTGAAATATTATTTGGACTTAGGGAACAGTTAAATATGTGATTGTGTTATATTAGTCCTTTTTCTTTTTTTTTTTTTTTTTTTTTTTTTGTCTTTTTTCATGTCCGGCAACGGACCGCAACCCTCAGTGTCGCGCCCGTACCGGACCGGGACCGGCAATGGGATCGCAACCCTCGGTGCTGCGCCCGCCCTTCGCTCAGCCAGTGAGCGGGAACCGGTCTGTATGTGGGATCCGAACCCTCGGCGGGAGTGCCGCCGCGCTCCCAAGCGGCGCACTATCCAGTGTGCCACCGGGCCGGCCCTACTTATTCTTTTTTTGATGGCTGGCTGGAATGGGGATCTGAACCTTTGACCTTGGTGTTGTCAGCACCATGCTGTACCAACTGAGCCAACCAGCCAGGCACTCCTTTTACTTTGTGCTCTATTATGTTTGCCTCCTTTGAATTGTCCAACTCTTTGCCAGATCCATGCCATCTGTATTAGTATAACTCAGAAATTGGAGGACTCCAGAACAGTGGTTGAATTGAGGGGGTGGGGTAGAAGTGGAAGGGGGGAACAAGAGGGCAAAGAGAAATGAAATGCAACAGAAAGAATAATCAGACAGCTTCTTTCCAAAGCAAATGAACATTGTCAGTCTGCTTAGCATCATAAATAGCTTTCTGAAACTATTTTTATGGCTGGAGTTTCTGAACTAATTTAGTAAAGAGGAGGATACAGTTGACTCATTCGTGAAGAGTATATGACTCATTTGTACAGAATGAAAACATGTTTACAAAGGTCCACATTAAATGAAAGCTGTCATCCAACTTGATTCAGACAAAAAGTGAAAGGCAGTAAGTTAGTAGTACATTAATTCTCCAAATGCGTGCCAGGAAAGTGTTGTAGGAAGGGCATAAAACTCAGTTGATCTGGGTTGTGGTCCTGGTTCTTCCATTGACTCTGTGTGTGACCTTAGGCACGTTAGTAACTTTGCTGTTGAATCTTCATTTCCTTATACCTCTCCTGAGATAGAGATGGGCAGGGTGTAGGGTAGTAGGCCATATCTCTTAAGATCTTTTACTTCTATAAGTTGATTCCATTGTTTTAAAGTATTATGAAAAATTTCTTAAGGCTATGATTTACTAAACTTTCTTAAAATTTTAAATTCTAGGGAAGACATATAAGGAATTTGCATAAGACAGTTGTGCACAATGGAGCTGGAGGAGCCTTATTTGTGGTAAGTAACTAGATTTGAAAATTTGGGTATATCCGTTGTAATAATCCAAAAAATCTTAAACACTAGTATCTTTGGTATATGCTGGCCATTGTGGGAATTTAAATATAGCTAATTGAATTTACTACATTTCAAAAGATGTGTGGTTTCAGATTAAATTCTAGTTTAAGTTGAATTTGGTTCAAGTTTAAATTGCCAGCAGGGAAACTCCGGGAATAAGAATTTATATTGTTCTTTGGTGAAATTACTGTGAGCCCTACCTAACCTGATTCTCATCACACTTAAAAAAATCAGTCATGTTGGCTCACTGAAGTTTCTGAGGCTGCAACTTGCAGAATAATCCCCAAACTCATGGATTTTACTAATGTAGTGAATACATAAGCAGTTGGCTCTTTCTGTGTTTGGTTTTCAGGGTTTAACTCCAGTTAGAAATCTGAACTCCTCAGCTTAGTTGCACTCACACTTAAAAAAATCAGTCATGTTGGCTCACTGAAGTTTCTGAGGCTGCAACTTGCAGAATCCCCAAACTCATGGATTTTACTAATGTAGTGAATACATAAGCAGTTGGCTCCTTCTGTGTTTGGTTTTCAGGGTTTAACTCCAGTTAGAAATCTGAACTCCTCAGCTTAGTTGCACTATTCAGAAAAGATATGATAATGTGTCCCCTTTTTCTGACAAGGTGCAGTTTCCAGGGATTAATGTACTGTTTAAAAGCAATGTAGTGAGCTCATGTTATGATTTAAAATTAGCGGTATAAGTAGTAGACTCCTGCTCTATGTTTTATTTTCTTTGTCTAAAAACATCAAATTGGCCACGTATTTGACATCATCGTCCAAAGTTTCTTTCTTCTTTTGGTTTATGTCCTTTAAAAAGCAGAACTCTGAGCATGAACATATCAAGAGATTCAGTTCTGTATTCACCACACATATAAAACATTAATTGATGTAATTGTTAATCTCATTGTGACTCATTTGATTTCCTGTTGACATGCCATTTCTTGTCAGTTTTTGAAGAAGGCCTGTTCTGCTCTTGTAAGGAGAAGAAATAAAACTTCTTGTTGTCTGGTTTCTGTTTATGGAAAACATGTCCAGAAAAGATGGTGCTTTTGTACCAGATCGCTTTGACAGTCTGATACACTCTCTTTTGGAAAAGTGGACTTATATGCACACTCAAAATTTTATGTCTTAGTTTCATAAGCTTTCCAATAATTGGTAATGTTTTAGTAATTATATGAGAAGATCCTGTTCTCTAATGAAATTGGGTAATACTTTGTTGTTTGATTTTTTTTGGTCCTAAAGCTTCTCTTAACCTTTGAAGGATGCTTTCTAAAACTTTTCTAAAATTTTGAATTTTGCCAACTTTGGGAATCATACACATCAAATTTATGTTTAGTCATTCTTTTCGATGGAAGGATAAATTGATATATATCATGTTGGAATTAAAGTGGAGAGATTAAATAGTAATGTAGTGTTATTCACACTTTTGAGAGAATTTTGATAGTTTTGGAAAACTTTTTTTTTTAATAGCACAGAGATACTCCTGAGAATAACCCAGACACTCCATTTGATTTCACACCAGAAAACTATAAGGTATGACTAGCTTAACATTATGATTAATTTACAGAACAGTTAGTATCTTCCAGATTTATAAAACGGATGCTTTTTCTGTTATACAGAGGATAGAGGCAATTGTAAAAAACTATCCAGAAGGGCATAAAGCAGCAGCTGTGCTTCCAGTCCTGGATTTAGCCCAAAGGCAGAATGGGTGGTTGCCTATCTCTGCTATGAACAAGGTACTGAATTCATTTTTGCCTTAGTTCAAAGAGAGGGGAAATTGTGTATGGTAACTTCCTCATATAGAAATTACTTTAATGTCAGAATCTATGAGTTTGGGGCCTTTTAGTCATACATGTTTCCTTGAAAATTATATTTGTATTTTTGTTGGTTCCCTTAATCCAGAGAACTGAAGGAAAGCTTTTTATCCTTGCAGGAAATAGTGAAGGCATTATGGTGAAAGAAGGTTTTTCTTGTTTGTTTTTCTTTTTGAAGGAAATGGTCATAATAAAGATAAAAGATCCCAAATTTATATAATTTAGTGTCAAGATAATCTGAAGTTAATGTAATATTTAAATACTAGAATTACAGAGAAAAGATCTATTCATAGCTAGTATGAATCTTTTTAATATTTTCATCTTTGGCTATAGGCCAAAACTTACAGGCTTTAACAAAAATTTAAATAATTTGTGGCATTTATGCCACTTGATTATGCCACCTTGGTATCAACAACCTACAGAAATGGGATGGATGGCCCATTTTATATGAAGTTAGTTTGTTCATATTTTAAGATTCATTTTTGCTAATAGTTTTCAGCAGTAATCCAAATTTTGAGTTTATTCATATTTTATTAATATAATAAGTACATTTGTGTGATAATAAAGTGTATCATTTATAAAGTACTGTACAAAAACCACATATTATTTGATTTCTATGAGAATCACAACCACTAAGCCATGTTATATAATGGAAAATATATTTAACTTAGAGCTAAGAGACCTGATTTTTCTCTGGACTGACTGACTTCCTCATTGACAATAAAGGTAGATCTCTTCCAATTATTACATTATGATTTTTAAGTGATAGAGCTGGGTCTGAATTCATTTCTAATTCAATGTATATTCTACTTGACTATCACAGAGATTTTGCTACACTTCATTTTTCTTACCACTTTCTAAACTTCATTTGTCATAACTGTTAGGCTAGACCATCATCTTTCTTGGAGAATAGGAATGTCCTTAATTTATCTAATGGAATCCCAAATAGATTTTAGATTTAGTTTATTGATCTCTTATCTGCTTTGTACAGTACCCTAACACTGTGTGGACCGTTAGTATTTTTTTCCTCTATGAAAACTGTTATAAAGCAAGTTTAGTAAGGTACTATCCTTAGTAAACATAGTCAGGTGGTTATTTTTTCAATAAATCACGTTTCTTTGGGAGTTACTTACATTGTTTTTAAAATTAAAACAGCCAACTTTCTGGGCCGACCCCATGGCTCACTTGGGAGAGTGCGGCGCTGGGAGCGCAGCGGTGCTCCCACTGCGGGTTCGGATCCTATATAGGGATGGCCGCTCAGCGGTCGATACCAAGCCAAGGGTTGCGATCTCCTTACTGGTCACGAAAAAAGAAAAAAAAAAAGTCACGGTGGGGGGCAGGAACAGCCAACTTTCTAAATAATGATTTAAGTATATATTTCTTTTTTTTCTTTTTTTTTTCTCCTTTTTGTCTTTTTTACTGACCGGTAACGGGATCGCAACCCTCGGTGTTGCGCCCGCACCGGGAACCAGCAATGGGATCGCAACCCTCGGTGCTGCGCCCGCACCGCGCTCAGCCAGTGAGCGGGAACCGGTCTCCACATGGGATCCGAACCCTTGGCGGGAGCGCCACCGCGCTCCCAAGCGGCGCCCTCTCCAGTGCGCCATCGGGCCGGCCCTTAAGTATATATTTCTAATCATAGTTTTATTTTATTTTATTTTTGGTGGCTGGCTGGCATGACTAATCATAGTTTTAGTTTTAGGGGCTTTATGGCAAAAATTTATGTTTTTAATAATGGCAAGCCTGTTGGAAGTGTTGCTGAGTGGCAAGTTCAGCACAGCAAAATAGAGTAAATAACAAACTAATGTGACAACATTTAAACAATATTGTTCTATTTAGAGTTGGATGTGGGGGGGTGGGAGAGGCAGGAAATAGGATATAGAGAATAGAGTCAAGATTCTTTCCACTTTACATTTGGGGCTTTTATTTTAATGTGCCTGTCCACACTCCCGCAGGAAACATACAACCTTACAATAGAAACAAAATCCAGAAGCTCATTCATTAGTTTTTTAACTGTCACTAAGGTGTTAGGGAGGTATGCAATAGAATTCCAGGGGGAGCTTTTTCAAATTAGACAGGGCCTCAACTCCAGATTTATTAAATTATTTCAGTGGTAGGTCTCCAGCATGTATATTTTGATAGACAGTTTTCCAGATTTGGAGATACATCCTTGGTTAGAACCACTGAATTAAATAGTACAACTACTTTGTCTTTCTGAAGTGAACCATGGTTAGACATTTTTTGAAAATACATTTCCTTTAGAATTACTGATATGAAAAAGTTCAGCGTGTTACCTAAAAAGCCATTTAATGAGCTCTTCTTTCATGTCAGAACATGGATATATATATATATATATATATAATTTTTAAGAATGCCAGATAGCAAGCTTTAAAACCTGATAGATCAATGATATTAGGTCAGCTAGAAAGTTATAGCCAGGATTATAGTCATGATAGACTGTACGAGACCAGCCCTAACAAACAGCTAGAAAGCCTAGTTTTCAATAACATACTTGCCCTAAGAGAGGCATACTGAGATAGAGATCCTTTTAGTGCTAAACCCTAGGATGTCAAAACAAATAATTTCTATCAATACCTTTTTGTGAAGGGTTGGAAAGTACTAGTCCTTATGATCTAGCTTTTGTAAAGAGTACAGTATTGTTACATGAAATAAAAGTAGTGTTTTGGATTATTCTGGAGAGGGATGTGAGCACATGTGGATGTATACATATAAGTATGTAGAGAGATAAAATTTTGAGTTTACATATCTAAATGTAGATATGTAAACAGATAAATGTATAGTAAGTGAGATTTGATTCTCAACACTTTCTATTGCCATACCATTTGCATGCACTATACATGACCAATAATATCAAGGATTTTTGAAAAATTGGTGAAGAATTTTAAAAATCTAATCGTTTCCTTTATTAGAATTTGGCCACCAAATTTCTGCCATTTAGACAATTTTTTTGTGGTGGTGGTTGGCTGTCTGGTATGGGGATCCAAACCCATGACCTTGGTGGCAAAAGGCTACACTCTAACCAACTGAGCTAACTGACCAGCCCTAGACAACTTTTTATTTTAAAAAATATTTTAGACATTTTTTTTGGTGGCTGGCTGGTCCAGGCATCCAAACCCTTGACCTTGGTGTTATAACACCACACTAACCAACTGAGCTAGCCAGCCAGCCCATTTAGACAATTTAAATGACCAAATATAAGAGTTGAAATGATCAAAGTAGATATTCTTGATAGTGAAAGACTTACAAATTTAGAGAAAAAGAATATCTTTTGCACAGGTAAGGTGCATGGGAGGAGGAGGAGGAAGTGCTGGAACACCATTAGCTGCTGGGCTCTGTGTGATGTAGGTGCAGGGTATTTGCAAAAACTGAAGGGCACTTGCAGCTGTCAGATACAAGTATGTTTTCTGCTCCTGAAGAACTTTTATGTTTTTACCAAACTGAGGCAATATGGAAATTATACTTTTTATAACATATCTAAAGCTCAATTAATATTGTGTTTACCTTATTTTAAAATGTCCTAATATTTTAGGTTGCAGAAGTTTTACAAGTACCTCCAATGAGAGTATATGAAGTAGCAACTTTTTATACAATGTATAATCGAAAGCCAGTTGGAAAGTATCACATTCAGGTCTGCACTACTACACCCTGCATGCTTCGAAACTCTGACAGCATACTAGAAGCCATTCAGAAAAAGCTTGGTATGAATCTTATTGAATTTGTACTTCCCCAGTAAATTTTTGTCTTACTCTTTTTTGCCCACATTTATTTCTTCCTATTTTTTGTTCTTCCTTAGGTCTCAGACTCAAAGCTGAGTTGTTCACCTTTTATTTTTTATTTTATTATTTTATTATTTCTTGGTGGTTGGCCAGTATGAGGATCTGAACCTTTTCTTTTTTAATCAGAAAATTATGTTTTGCTTATTGTGTGATAGCATGTAGTACATTAAAAAGTGACTATATTGTTCATATATTCTTTCAAAGAAGGCATGGAACAAAGAAGATATAAGCATAGTAAGAGGGCTTTGGGAAGGGAAATTTGAAATACTGTAGATGTTGTTATAGCAGCATTTACAAAATAAACGGGCTTTTTTTCATACAAAACTGGCACTGCTGTGTTTATAACTACATAGTCAAATGAACTAAAAGGAAGTAAAATCTTTTAGTTTTGTTAGTGAATATGAAGTACTTGCATGTTATAAAAATAGTTGGGTGGTATTCAAGTATATAAAACAGAAAGCTGAAGTCAGCTCAAAATCCTACCACCCTTCCTCCAAGGTATACATTCTGATATAACAAGGTATAACAGTTGGATGTATTAGTTATAGATTTGATATCATTTTAATTATTAAATACATAAATGTAATATATCTGCTTGCTTTTTACACTGTATTTTGGCTATCTTTCTATAGCACAGGATGTATGAGGGTCCCACTTCAGAAACTTCATGGAAAAACAGAAATAAAAGACACTGTGAATCTCTCCATGAACAACTTTTTTTTTTGGTGGCTGGCCGGTACAGGGAACCAAACCCTTGACCTTGGTGTTGCAAGGCTGCACTCTAACCACCTGAGCTAACTGGCCAGCCCCTCTTTGAACTTTTTGAAGTAACCTTGTATGTTACTCATTTTTCTAATTAAGTTCCTCTTCAGTTTCTTTCACATATGCATATTTTTGCATATTTGTCCTATTGTATCCAGAGGATGTTTACAAGAAGTAGAATTGCTGAGTCAGATTTTACATATTTCGAAATGTATGAGTACCCATTTTCCTCACATCCTTAGTAATCTTTGACATTAAGACTTTCCTGAGTCTTTGCCAATCTGATAGTGACTGTGACTTTAGTATTTTAATTATCACAATCAAAATGAAAATAATACAGTCTGATGTACTGCTATAGAATAACAAACATTGGAGATGAGTCCCCTGAAATTTGACTGTTTTTAAAGGAACAAGTCCACTTAGAAATCCTTGAATGTTATAATTACCTCTAAGTATTTAGCCAGATCTCACGAGTTTTGATAAGTTTGCATAGTTTTTTGTAATTATACAAAGAATTTTTTTCTTTTTTAAAGAAATTTAATGTTCTTAAATACTGTTCATATATCTCTGCAATATATTGTGGCTTTTTTCCCCTTAATCAAATTGTTATTAAAATATAACTGGTCCTTACAGCGATCATTTATATTTTTAGGAATAAAGGTTGGGGAGACCACACCTGACAAACTTTTCACTCTTATAGAGGTGGAATGTTTAGGGGCCTGTGTAAATGCACCAATGGTTCAAATAAATGACAACTACTATGTGAGTATTTCACTTAATGTATATTAGTTATATGATGTCATATTTAAAATGTTTAATTTTGTTTTCTATAGATGTTGATTTATTATTTATTTATTTAGAAGAAACTGTTAGCATAAATATCCAGAAGGTTTTTAAGAAATTATTTTTAAACATTTTTGCATGTACCTCCAGAAGTTAATAACAAATTTTAGAAACTTAAATTATGAAAAACTTATTAATTTACATATAAATACAGAAAATAACCCTGGTGTAGTAACCACCAAGACTTAACAGTAACATTTTGCCACATTTGCTTCGGGTACTATCATCATCATCATCATCATCATTTGTAGAAATAAGCCACAGATACAGGTGAAGCACCCCCACCCCAAATCCTATTCTCTTCTTTTCATTCCCAGATAACCATTATCATTAAGTTAGTGTGTATTCTTCCTGTACATATTTTTAAACTTTTTCTATATACTTATGTATATATATGTGTGTATACATATACATACATGTGTGTATATATATATATATATATACACACACACACACGTTATATTGCTCGTTTTAAAAATTTTAGGGCCGGCCCGGTGGCGCACTGCTACAGTGCGCCGCTTGGGAGTGCGGTGGCGCTCCCGCCGAGGGTTCGGATCCCACATACAGACTGGCCGCTCACTGGCTGAGCGAGGTGCGGGAGCAACACCGAGGGTTGCGATCCCGTTGCCGGTCCCGGTCCGGTCCGGGCGCTACACTGAGGGTTGCGATCCATTGCTGGTCATGTTGCGATCCCGTTGCCGGTCCCGGTCCGGTACGGGTGCGACACTGAGGGTTGCGATCTGTTCCCAGACACGAAAAAAGACAAAAAGGAAAAAAAAAATATTTTATAGAGATGGTATCATACCTCTAAGTAGTGCTTTAGCCGGATCTCACAAGTTTTGATAAGTTTTGCATTTTGAGTTCTTTGACCTATAAATTTTCTAGAAGTTTATTTATACACAAATGTGTGGAGTTTTCTAATTCTTTTTTTAAATTGCTTGCTACCCTAGTTATATCATGTTTTTCATTCATGAGGTCTTGTTAGTTCATATTTCTTAGAAATTTGTTCATGGAAATCCTTTGAAGCCTGCATTGAAAGTATATTCTTCATGAAGGGATTTACTCTTCTCTCTTGCTTCTTCCTGGAAGTACTGCTGGCTTTAAAAAAAAAAGCCCCTCTCCTTATACCCTAGGCCTCCCTCACCCCCCAATGTGAAAGGTTCCAGACTAGCAGTTTTCTTTGAGGGACAGTTTAATTTCTAGTTTACCCTTATTTTGAGGGCATAGCTTTTTGAGATCTTAACTTTGTGTGTTTGGATGTCTCGTTTTAGACTCTCTTGGGCTGGCATGAGGCTTGTCCTTTGCCCCCTCTAGGCTCAGAAACCCTGAAGCCAAGTTTACTTGGCATTTCACTTGTCTCCCTGGGTTTTCATTGTGTTTTTGGCCTTTGGATATTTATTTCTTGATTTAAATAGGAATTAAAGAATCAAGGCTTTGTATGAAGCATTATAAGTCTAAATATAGTAGCCTATGAACAGATTTGTCCAAGAGATAGAGATTCTTTCAGTTAGTAGTAATTGGATCTTTAGGTTAGGCATCCTTATAAGTTACTACAACTACTAGTGCTAATTACTATTTGTACCTCACTGCTTCTTCAAGAGTATAGTATTTATTGACCATGTATTTTGGCACTGTTCTACTTTATACATTTTCTTTTTTAATCCTCAAAAACACACTGAAGTAGGTTTTCAAATAAAGAAACAAACTTGTGAAGGCCAAGTAACTTGTCCAAGATTACTAGCTAGTAAGTGATGGAGCCAGGATTCAAATGTAGATGTACTTCACTTGAAAGCACTACTCTATACTGCCTCTTCAGCTACAGCTCTTGTTGCATATTATATTTAGTAGTATATCATGTATATAGGAGTTATTCAGTTGTTGCTACCTTGGTAACTATCTTGTGAGCTGAGAGAGACATAAAAAAACTTAAGTGATATTAGGGATTTGTAGATTTCAGCAATAGGAAGTAATTTTTCTATATGATAGTTGTAATTTTTTTTTTTTAGGAGGATCTGACACCTAAGGATGTTGAAGAAATCATTGATGAGCTTAAGGCTGGCAAAATTCCAAAACCTGGGCCAAGGTATGCTTTTATTTATGCATAATAAGTTTTAATGGCTTAACCTAAATTAATCTTTCACATAAACTTAATTTTCAAAATTTTATACCCTAAGATCATAGAAGCTTTGGATATTATCTAAGCCAACCTGTTATCTACAGCAAGAATTTTTTTCCTTTAAAACCCTATCAAATAATCAAGCTGATAGTGCCTTAATATTTATAAAGAAAAATTTACTATAAATAGAAATGTGTTCTGTAGTTTAAAAGTACATGTCTCCCTTTAATTTGGCTAAAGATCCAATTCTGCCCTTTGAATCTACTCAAGATAATTTTAATATCTCTTCCAAATGACAGCTTTTCAGTTACTTGAAAAGCTTTTCAGTTATCCTGTCTTCCTCCTATCTTTTTCTCAGATTGAATATCTAGTTTTTTCATTGTTTTTCCCTGTGTGACATAGTTTTTGGTCTCACTCCTCTGTGGGTTTTCTAGTTGGCCAGTGAATTTAATGTGATACTTAAAACTAATCACAGTATTTGAGCTAGGTACCAAGCAGTACAGAGCACTGTGGGACTTCCTCCTTTGTTCTAGACTTTATACTTGTAATAATCCAGTCTCGTTACATTAACTCTTACTTCAAATACATTACACAATTAATTGCACTTAGTTAGAATGCCTGTATATTTTTCAATTTATCAGCTGTTTATCCAGGTTGCTCCCATCCTATAGTTGTTATACTAATTACTTTTCTTTTAATTATGAACTTGAACTCTTACTGCTAAACAAACCCCTATTCCACATCTAAGCGTTCAGTTACTCAAAATTCTCTTAATAGTAGCAATTGTTTGCCTGGTTTTATGTAGCTGTAATCTCTCTGTATCTTTTTCTGCTTATGTCAGATAAACTTTTCCTTCTGTTAACATATTTGTAGGCCAATATAGTATTCCAGTGTTTTAAAAGAGCTATGATGTGTTTGTTTGTTTGTTTCTTAATAAGTCCCTGTCCTTCAGTCTCAGGAGTTTAAGACAAAAGACAGGCCTAATTTTTGACTCTTTTTTTTTTTTTTTTTTAATGGTAACTACATGGTTTTATGTGAGGGTACTTCAAAAAGTTCACAGAAAGTGATGTGCTCTTTATTCCCCTATTATAAATTTTTTTTTCCTAATTTTTAATTATAAATAACAATTCTCTGAAGTTATATTACTAAGTCAGAGGGTATGAGTGGTTTTATAGTTTGCTCTCTAGAAGTATTCATCCATTGTTCTGGCAGACTAATAAGCTTAATGAGAAAATTAGGTTAATTCAGGATAACTTAATTTTTTACTCTTTTTTTTTTTTTTTTTTAATGGTAACTACATGGTTTTATGTGAGGGTACTTCAAAAAGTTCACAGAAAGTGATGTGCTCTTTATTCCCCTATTATAAATTTTTTTTCCTAATTTTTAATTATAAATAACAATTCTCTGAAGTTATATTACTAAGTCAGAGGGTATGAGTGGTTTTATAGTTTGCTCTCTAGAAGTATTCATCCATTGTTCTGGCAGACTAATAAGCTTAATGAGAAAATTAGGTTAATTCAGGATAACTTAAGTTTAATAAATACTAGCTGGCCCATGTTGACTATTACTTTCTTTTCTAAGAAACATACACTACTCTCCACACCCTGGGCCTAGAGAGTTGAATTTACTTAAAAATGTTGGGCCATACTTGCTTTTTTAGGAGGTAAAACATTTTCATTGTAAAAAATCATTCTCCTTTATGGAGGCAACTGAAGTGAAGTCTTTTGTTGTTTACAAAATTAATGTTGTTAACTTTAGAATATTTTTCTTAGCCAGTGGTCCTATTCCTTATTCTTGCTTCTAATATAGAGATACCCCTCCCCTAAAGTACATATTTCAAAGTATTTTCCACAAGCTTCAGCTCTTTGTTAGGATTCAAATGTTGTAAAATAAGTTTATGTTACTCTTATGTTTGTACTTAAACCCATAATATCTTTCAACTTTTGAGTACTTTTAATCCAATATTATTCTCTTACCGCACAAACAGATAGTTGCTTTGTCACTTGATTATATATTACATATTCAACATTCATATATTTTACAAACATTTTTTGAGTGTCTGCTGTGTGCCAGGAACTATTTTAGTTTGTATATCCAATCATGAACATGATAAAGTTTTCACATATCTTGTATTTTAGTGATAGAGACAAACCACTAATGTAATGTCTGAGTGATAAATGCTACGAAGAAAAATGAAGCAGGGATAGGGGAGAGAGAATGATTGGGAGTAAATTTAGTCAGGAGAGCCCTCTCTGAGGTGGTAACATCTGAGCCATGACCTGAATGATAAGCTAGAGGGAACCATGTAAAGAACTGGAGGAAACAATGTTTCCGGGACGGAAAGAGGATGTATTAAGGTCCTGGAGGAAAAGTAAGACAACAGTCTGGTTGCAGTGAGGTGATCAAAGAAGGAAAATGGTGAAAGGGGTCAAAGATGGAGATGGGGCCCAGATATGTAATCTGGGTTGAATCCTAAATATAAAAAAAATATAATAAAATATAATAAAAAGCTCTTGTTGGAGTATTTTTAAGTAGGGAATGATATGACCTTGTTAAAAATATTGTCTTAATTGCTATGTGGAGAATAGTTTAGAATTGAGTAGATGTGCTGGGGCTGAGGAATTATGAGATTTCTAGCTTTTTGTTTTGAGCATCTCCGTGGTTCTTTTAGCTAAAATGGAGAAGATTTGGGGTATGGCAAGTTTGGAGAAGAAAAGTCAAGAATTTTGTTTGGACATGGGAAATTTGAGATGGTAGAGTGCTGATAGGTAGATATGAGTCTGGAATTCAGGGACTAGATTAGGGCTGGAAATACAAATCGGGGATTCATCAGTTATTGTAAGTGGTTTTTAAAGTTGTAAGTCAGGATGAAAAATCAGGGATGAAATTAGAATTTGTTGTTGTTAACATAGGAGATACTATAATATGTGTGTGTGTGTGTGTTTTGTTTTTTTTTTTTCTAAAGATGACCAGTAAGGGGATCTTAACCCTTGACTTAGTGTTGTCAGAACCACGCTCTCCCAAGTGAGCCAACTGGCCATCCCTATGTAGGGATCCGAACCTGTGGCCTTGGTGGTATCAGCACCACACTCTCCCGAGTGAGCCACGGGCCGGCCCTTATACTATAATATATTTTAATAATAAACAGGAACTAAATACCACAGTTAAGCATTTTCAACATTCAGTAATAATAGGGATGT